CTGTGGATGTTGCAGGGTAAGTGAGACCCCACTTCCCAGCTGGAGAACCTTGTGGATGGGCATTGGGTTAGGAAGCAAAGCAGTCGGTTTGCAGTATGGGTACTGTTTGACCTTGTCTGAGGGAGAACTGAAGATCTGGCAAGGCAGAAGCCTGAGCCACTGCAGGCATGAAGGAGTCCACTCCTTGGTACCTAGTGAAAAGACAATGTAGATGCAATTACAATAACTTTCGCAGAACCAGAGAAGATATCTAAGCAAGGATGATCCTCCTGTGGTCAAGTGGGTCAGTTTTAGATCCTTATAGGGCATTGCAGGTAGCTAGTCTAAAAAGGAGGATCAAGGGGGAAAATTAACTTTTGTAAAATAAGTGTTTGACAAAGGTGGAGAGCCGATGTCTTCAAAAGCCCTCTTCAGTCCATTTGTTTTAGCAAATTAAGGAAGTAGGTAAGGACAGAAAAAGGGCATATCTAGTAATTTTCAAGCTTTTGGTAGGCTGTATATTTCCAGGGAGTCAGTAATTACCATCTTACTGCCCTTGATCTATGTGAAGAGGGAACAAGGACAAGCATTTCAGAAGCTGTAAAAGCTTTGTCTTTCAATTACCTTTGTTGAGAACATGGAGTGCTCAAAGGAGTTGTTTAAAAGGAAAACGTAGCTTTTACATCTTCAAAATTGTTGTGACAGGCTTTACTGTGGTCCTCGTCTTCTCTTTTTCTGAGGAAATTGAAAGTGAGCAGCCACTTTAAAAACTTTTTTTCTGTCCTCCCAGCCTCCCTTCAACATGTTAAATGGGATGCTCGTTTGTGCCTCAAGAATGATGTCTAATCTGAGGAGTGTTTTGAGCTAAGTGCTTTCCTCTTAACTCTCCAAGCTCCTTCTGTACAAATGAATTCAGAGGGAAGAAAGCTGCTTCATGTTGTCTTGCATTTGTCTTTCACACATGCAGGTAGGCTACCGATGCTTTATTCCGGTTGTAAAGATAGCAGGATCCCCTAAGCTGTGAAGAAAGGACCTTATGTTGGAAGTGAATGAAAGAGAAACTTCATCCCACTTTAAAACGGTGTCATGAGAACAGCATATGCTTCTTATGCCTGTTTTCCTTGTTCTTTATCTGTGTTAGAGAGACCAGCCATGCTAACTTTGCAGTATTCTTGTGCTCAGGGGAATTAAAGGCATCTGCTTGGCGTTTTGCTCTGATGTGTAAAGAAAGGGCTGTGTAGCACCCAAAACACCAGTGTAGGACCAGGTGGACTACTGACTGTGCTGTCACATCTCTAGGTTGGTAAAGATACTGGCTGAGAGAAGGGATGTAAATGCAGTGAAAATTAACTTTACAGAGGAAAATGGAATAAATCTTTTAGGAGATTCTGGTCTGGTCTCTTGAAGTTTTGTCAAATTCCAAAAGCAATAGTAAGATCCAAAATTATATTGCAAATTCAGAGAGAATTAGTTGCACTCCTGATGACATGACATGTAATTTCAACTGCTGACACTCTGTGTGATCATTTAGCCTATAAACCTATAAACTTATAAAACCTATAAACTTATAAAATGTTTGACTTCTAGTTTAGCAATTATAATCTAGGCATCAAAAATCTGACACTTAATACTTCTGGGTCCTTTCCCACAGTTGTTTTAAATTCATGTTAGCCATGTTTAATATTAAAATTGGTATTCTTAATCTTAATGCAATATTTCTTGCTGAAGAGTAGTTAGCTTCTCATATGCCTTTTTCAAGGAAACAATTAAAAAACAAATGTGAAGTTCAGAAAGACTTGGTTTTATTGTAATATAAAAATTATATTAGAAGAAATAACTGAGAGCAAAGTTAATGGAAGAAAAGGCCAGTAGTTAAATTTTAGTAAATTTTAATGGTTTTAATTTTAGACAGTCATTAAAGGCAAACATTTCATCTTTAGATTTGCAAGCCTATTTTCTGTTAAAATTAATGGAAATTAGGTAGAGCTAGCTGAGGGATGAAATTTAAAAAAGAAAAAGCTATAAAACCTGCATGTGTAGAATCCATGGGCTTGAAAATGCATGGGCGACTTCTGCCAGGCAGCATACTTTTTCACTGCACATGCAACAGGAAGCATGTAGGTTTGGTTTGTTTGGGTTTTTTTCTAGTTATATTTCTTAACCTTCTTAAAACAGTTTCCTTCCAAGCCAACTCTGGAAGGAAAATTGCAAAATCACACACAAAATGCATCTGTAAGCGCATTTGTATGTAGGTGGCAACTGATGCCAACAGATGACATGTAGATTAAATAAATAATTGAATGCATATCTGAAGATGTTCATTTATTTTTTCATAATGATGGAGGACCTCTTTCTTACTGCAGTAAAACCATCAAAAAAAGAGTGCTGCTAACTTGCCGACTGGTTAATGCGAAATATGAGGTTTTGGTTCCATTTCATCAGCTTATGTTTGGAAAATAAGCCTGAACCTAGAATGGGGCATATCAACAAGATCTACCCCAGCAAATGTTCTAAAGCAGCCTCTTCTGGTGCCCCTGTCACTCAAGCTACATCTAGATCCCAATACTACCTTTTCAAACCTACGATTTGATAAGGGAAACTTCATGGAGCTATGTAATTGCTCATAGGAAGGTAGCTAGAACTCTTGTGAAACAAGCTTTGTGGCTTAATTCAGGAATTATCTGAAGGCTTTTAGGTATTGCTACAATGTTGGCTGGCCCAAGGGATCTCTGTGCTTTAGTCCCTATAGTCTGTTTCATCCACAGTAAAGTGGTATGGCTTTTCCTGTAGCAAGCTGCTTTTCACAGAAAACCTAGGCGGTTTGTTTTTTGGGTTTTGTTTGTTTGGTTTTGTTTGGGTTTTTTTTTTTATCCTGAACTTGAGATGTTTCTACTGAAAATCCAAATTGCTTACCTTCAAAATATTGTTGTGCCTCTCTGAAACTGTACTTGCCTTTCTCATCTCCCTGAAGTCCTCTGTAGAACAGGTACTGCTCATAACTACACTTCCCATGATGCAGACAAGGAAAGATGAGGCAGGAGAGTGATATCTTCTAAGAGCTGGAGTTTAGACAAACAGCATGCACATGGAGGGGAGTGGGAGCTTAAGCAAACAGTGAGATACTTCAGGAAAAACAAAAAAGTGCTTTGGGGTTTAGGGAAAAGTTTGCTTTAAAGTAACATATGTACTTTCTCTGAAACTTTTAGTGGGGAAAACCACACTTTTCTAATCATCTGTAATCCCCAATTATAATGGACAAGAGAGCAAGAAAAATCAAAACTGCATGTGAGAGTCAGTTTGTTACTATATCTTCCATTCAAAAACCCAAGCATACCTAATAAGCATTATGATACTGGCATACATATATCTCTACAAGATAGAAAATAGTTACAGAAGAAACAGTTAGGACCTAAAAGCTATGATTTTGTCCATTCATATATTATAAGTTGCACAGCCAGGGTAGAAGTCTGCAAACTTTTCTCTCCTCTCTGTAGTAAGTGTAAAAAAAAAAAAAAAAAAAAAAAAAAAATTAAGAAGTTAATAACATCTGACAAAACAATGGGAAAGTAAACAGAATCTATAAAATATCTAGAAATCAGTGAGATGTAAATGATGACAGATATTTTTCCGTTTTTTCAGTGAGAAATATGGCTCACTGAAAGAGGCTGCAGGGGGGAAAAACAGAAAGCAAGTGAAACCTTTTTTCAAGTCTCTTCTGTTCTCCTTTTCATGAATAACGAGTGAAACAGAACTAAATGAATCAATATAGTCCTTAATTTGAATTTGTGAAAAACTAATCATACACCCCAAGAGAAAGTGGCATACATTTCTTTTGATAGCACGCTATTTGATTCTTTGTCTCCTTAATGTCCAAGATGCAAGTCCTTTTTTCAAAGCAAAAAGTAATTGCTGAAAAAGGTGCTTTTAATAAATTGCTGTGCCTTGTAACTGACATTCTGTTTCTATGGTTTAGTGGTAAATATGCTTCTCTTAATACCTACCTGATAATGGATCTATTAATATCATGAGTATATTAAAAATGTAGCACATTGAGAAAGGGATTGCTGTTCATATATAAAACTAACCAATAGGTACTTTACAAAAGTTAGATGCTTCATCAGAGCCCTAAAGACTGAAAGAATTTTAAGGCTTCCAGGAGGTTTCATCTTTGGTGCTTATATAACCTCTTCATTTAGTCTTTAGTATTTTTGTCGTTATACCATGATAAAAGGCTGATCTCTTACCTAGATAGGCCTGCACACGAAGGGAGCTATTTCAGATGCCTCACTCCATCTCCAACTACTTTATTTGTTTCTCCACATCTTATTTCGGTTTTTCAGTATGCCACCTGAAATATGTGGCTTCTCTGGCTCATTAGAGAAGGAGTTGGCACCTAATTCAGGACTGGGGAATGCTTTTGGGGAGTCAGACAAGTAAAAGCAAGGTAATGTCATGTGAAGACTCTCAGTCCAAGTGGCCATGCTTGAGATCAGGAGAGCTATGCTGGTAGAACAGGAAATTGAACAGAGAGGTGTTCATAAACATGGGAATATTCTTCTTTGCAGGACTGGATCCCCAAAATTCCTGAACATTTTCAGCTCCTGTTGAACACATTGAGAGTAGAAAGCACTTGACATTTTTTAAGTTTCAGCCACAGATGGCACTGCACTTTCAAATATTTATCTAACATCATGTATGAGAAGCACCACCTTTCTTCATCTAAACATAACAAGGTGGGGGCAGCTGGGGAAAGAAGGGTGCTAAGGAAGCTTTTCCACAGGTGAGAGCTCTGTGAAAACTGACTGGCTCTGGCCACAGTAAAAGCAAAACAAAAACAGATTTCAGCCATCCAGTTAGCTACCATCCACGATTCAGAGCTGTTCCCATTAGATCATGAGAATATAAAATCTGCATGTTGGATATCTGTTCAGACCCGGACAAACCTCGCCCCTTCTTCAAAACTGTGTGTGCATGGCTCCTACTATTTCTTGCTCTACACTGTTATCCAGAGAAGCACAGGCATGGACCACAAGGCAACTGCTAATAAGACAAGTAAGTTTAAACATGTCATTAAATAACAATTTTGTGGAATCTACTTAGTATTAAAGACTCTGTAAAAAACGATCACCATCATTTGTACCACTCAGAGTCAAGTAGGAAAAATAATAAGGCTTATTATTACTTTTCAAGATTACCTAAACTGTGTGCAGCTAACACGGATTATTTTTGCATCATCTGTATTACTAGAGTAAAAATGGGTCTCAGTTCCATCCCTTTAAGTTAATAGAAAGAATTCAAACAACTGTTTTGGTCTTAGTTTTTTCTCTTTCTGATACAGTGAAATGATATAGAGATGAAAGTAGCAAAAGTAGGTAGGTGATCAAGTTCAGGTGACTAATGTTTTAATATATTTCTTACTCTTGCCCAAAAAAAACCCAAACCAAAACAGCCAACTGATTAAAAAATGTACTTCCCCCACACCCCACTAAAAAGTCATAAATTTCTTAAGCAAAATGTATTTCTGAAAGTCACCCATATATCTGATAGGTGGCTGCTTGAAGCAAAACTCTGAAAAGCCAAGTAGTGCCCTTTTGTTCACTGATTTGTACTTTTATTTGGATGATAAACTTCAATGCTTATCATGGACAATTTTAGCTATGCACCCAAGCTCTGCATCTTTATTGCTTTCAAGATTTCGTCTTCAGTGCTTAAGACCATTAAACCTTTTCTTTTAACTGTGAATTTCACTGAAGAAAAGCCCCAACTTCATTAAACACCATGATGTCATCTGATGGACATTAATGTAAGAAATATGCCCTGACAGAATTGCTCAGTCTTTTGATGGCAAAGCTCCTCAGTGGCCACATCAGTGGCTCCGCAGCAAGGTCGGTAGCAACTCCCACAAGGTCACTGTAGTTACACTGAAGTAATTTGGAACAGAGAAGACGACATTCATAAAATTGGTGTGCTCATAGATAATATATGGAACATGACTCCACCTTCCTTTGAAGTGTATGGATGCTGCCCAGTTCTAAAAGTGTCTTACGTGCTTTGAATAAGGAAAGAGCCTAGAAGCAGAGGACCTCTCAGAAGGCAGTTCAGTCACCTAAGTAAGCTGAATTAAGGTTAGAACGTGTAAACTGGTACCCTCTTCTCCCCTCCAGACTTTTTTTAGGAGTACAGATTAGAGGTAAATACTTCAACATCAGAACAGTAGTGTTCTGTACAAAGACCAAGACTTACTACATCTGAACTGTGGTGTGACATCCATCGCTATGCATGCAGCCTAGGAAACCTGCTTGTGGACCAAGTTCTCTTTATGCTTTATAACAAGAGGAAACAAACCAAACCTTCTGTGCTTTGCCACCAGTGCAAGATATGGAGAGAAAATTTGTTGAAAGCTGACACATGCAGTGATCTGTCTGTTGAGTGGGTTTTTTTGATATTTTTCATTGAGTAATTTACAGCAAAAGGAACTCGATTTAACCTGTTCTGATTCACAACAGGAAAAGAGCTTAATCCTGTTGAAGGTGTGGTGATAGCCTTTTATTGTTCCTCATTAGTCTGGACTGAGTATCGAAAGATATTATTTTACTTATTAAGCAGATAGAGCATAGAAACAAAGACACCTGTTGGAACAAATAGGAAATTGAAGTGAAATGCATTAATATTTTTAATCTTGAAAACCATATCTGTGTTTCTCCCCAGTACAGTGAGAGTGTGATTTTGTGTTTGGCTAAAGCTGATCAAAGTCTGTGTTGCTGCTGAAAGGAATGGCCCTGCCTTCCTCCTCCTCTCCTCAGCCCTGTGTTCCAACAGCCTTGTAGTGCAGGGAGCTGAGTCAACTGC